TCTTAATTTTTTTTAAATCTAAAAAATATTTGTTTGCACAAAAATGGTTAATATATTGTTTACTTTAAAAAGTTTTAAAAATAAGATTTTAATTTTTAAAAAATTCTCCTGACACTTTTTAAAAACTTCAAAATTTCCCAAACACTTTTCTAAAAATAAAAACACTCATAAACTTTAAAAGTAAATATTGAAAGGTTTGAAAATAATAGGTAAGATGTCGACAAATAGTTTTCATTCATATATTAACGGTAACAATTTTAAAATTTTTATTTATTTATTTATAAAATTTAAAGGTGAACTTTAACATCAGAGTATTTTAATTTTTTTTAAATGTTTAAGAGTATTATTGAAATTTTAAAAAATTAAAAAATATATTTTTTAAAGAAATTATAAAGATATTTTATTATTTTAACCTCATTAAAATAACAATTTAATGTAATACTATTTAATAAAATAAAATAAAAAATAAAGGTACGCATCCGTTTGTTTTAGGGTTCCTTTGTTCACACGTACAAAAAGAAACCATGTCCAAACAAGCGCGTGGAAAGGGAAATTTCTTTGACTTGTTAAGCCATCTTTGACTCGTTAATATATATATATACCGACTCTTAGAAGACATGACCCATTGACTTGACCTATCTCAATTTTCAGAAAAAGTAACATAATTTATTTTTATTTCTTAACTAATTTTCCTTTTTTTTTTCTAATATCATATATATATATATATATATAATATATCATATATATATAATATATCATATATATATATATCATATATATATAATATATATATATATATAATATATATATATATATTAGTATTTTAATTTTTAAGGTTTGCTTGTACCCTTAGTTTCTGTTATATTTTTATTTTTGAAAAATTATTAATTTATTTATTAAAATAATTAGCCTTAGCCTAGTAGATCACATCAAATTTGACTCATTACGACCACGTGGCGGCAAAATTTCCTGCTTTTTATTTCTTTGTTTAAAATAAAAAAAAAAAAAAACTCAAAATTTAATATTAAAAATGACAGTTGGATGTTGACCGATGAAGCCGCGGCGAAGCTGTTGTTCTTGTCGTGTTCTTCAGAAAAGACTTGCAAGTCAGCAGCTTAGCTCCGTCGTCCGTTCATTTAAAAACCCTTTTTCGATTAGCCTTTTGCAGAAGCCATGGCGATGACGATGGGGGAGCTCTGGACTCAAGTCGGCTCTTTGATGGCTACCCTCATGTTTGTTTGGGCAATTATTCAGCAATATTTCCCTTACCAATTCCGTGGCCATGTCCAGAGATATGCCCACAAACTCACCGGTTTTCTTTACCCTTACATCACTATCACCTTCCCTGAGTACACCGGCGAGCGTCTCCGCCGCAGTGAAGCCTTTTCCGCCATCCAAAACTACCTCGCTTCCCGAAGCTCCATCCGGGCCAACCGTATGAGAGCAGAGGCGGTCAAAGATAGCAAATCTCTGATACTCAGTATGGATGATAATGAAGAAGTTATTGACGAATTTGAAGGCGTCCAAATCTGGTGGACTTCCAGCAAAACTACGTCCAAGAATCCCTCTGTTTCTTATTACCCTTCAAACGATGAGAGACGATTCTACAAGCTCACTTTCCACCGCCGCCACAGAGACACCATTCTTGGATCTTTTATTAACCACATCATGGAACAGGGCAAGGCGGTGGAGCAGATGAATCGGCAGCGGAAGCTTTATATGAACAACGCCAAGAACGATTGGGGGCATAAAAGCAATTGGAGGCATGTTCCTTTTGAGCATCCTGCTAATTTTAAGACTCTGGCTATGGATCCCAAGAAGAAGCAAGAGATTATCAACGATTTAATCAAGTTTAAGAACGGAAAAGAGTATTATGAGAAGGTGGGTAAGGCTTGGAAACGTGGGTATCTTCTGTATGGTCCGCCGGGGACTGGGAAGTCCACCATGATCGCCGCCATGGCCAATTTCATGGAGTATGATGTGTATGATTTGGAGCTGACATCCGTTAAGGATAATAGTGAGCTGAAAAAGCTATTGATTGAGGTATCGAATAAAGCAATGATTGTGATTGAGGACATTGATTGCTCTCTTGATCTTACCGGCCAACGGAAGAAGAAGAAGAAAACAGAGGATGAGGAAGAAACAGAGGAGAAGAAAGACCCTGTTAAGAAGGCGGAGAAAGAAGAGGAAAAACAGAGCAAGGTGACACTTTCTGGGTTGTTGAATTTCATCGACGGAATTTGGTCGGCGTGCGGCGGGGAACGGCTGATAATCTTCACGACCAATCACAAGGAGAAGCTTGATGAAGCTTTGATTAGAAGGGGAAGAATGGACAAACACATAGAGATGCCATTCTGTGGGTTCGAAGCTTTCAAAGCTCTTTCGAGGAATTACTTGGATGTTGAGTGGCATGATTCGTACCACAAAATTGGGCAATTGTTAGAGGAAGCCGAGATGAGTCCGGCGGATGTGGCTGAGAATCTGATGCCGAAGTATGAGGGTGAAACAATGGATGATTGTTTCAAGAGATTGGTTGAAGCTCTTGAGGATGCGAAAGAGGAAGCTGAGAAGAAGAAGAAAGCAGAGGAAGAAGCTGAAGCCGCAAAAATGGCGGAAAAAGAGAAGGAGAAGGAGAAGGAGAAGAAGAGCAAAGATATTGAAATGAAAAGCAATGGAATTGGAGGTAAAGAAGCAAAAGAAAATGGTGAGACAGAGAAAGATGAGAAGAATTGAGGGAAATGGTGTAAGGTTATTAGTTGAATTCTGTTTTTTCTATGTAATGGGCCACAAATCTTCTATTTTCCATCCATCGTCTAACCCGCCCGCCCGGATCACCAGTTAAGGCCCCTAAATGACCGCTCAGTAATATGAAGGTAGGGGTGCAGAGATAGCAAGGAGGTTTGCCTAGAAACAGAACCCACTAGACGGGCTTGTAAACGTGATGTACGCATTTGTGTTTAACATATTGTAATCTATGACCATATGAAATACAACATGCATGATGTCATGCATTAAAAATCATGGTTAAATGAGATGATGCATATAAAACTTCTATACTTATCATGACTTTAATACGCAACCTATCGAGGCGACATGAGTGTCCAAAAATAAGCTTGAAGAGGGTTGGGTAGGGCTCAAACCATAACCTCAAAAGTTGGGGTTTCGATATGAGTTTCGACATGCAGCTCAGGAATTAAGTCTGTTTATATGAAAGAAGAACTCTCACAAATTTTGGTGTGATACTCAACGGACTATGCACGAGGTCATATATTCACTCACCAAAATGACATCCACTTGAGAAGGATTGAAAATGCCTTAAAATATACTCAACTCTCCACCACCTCTGGGCCGTGTGGCATAAGTAAGCTACCCTATCGTATGTATGTTTGTCATAGCGGGTGAGCGCTGCGAGTGAGTGTCTCAAACGTCTTCCTTTGAAAATGGTCTTTCACGTATAGTACCAGATGACACTCGTGTGTCAATATTGCACCCCAAACCATGTAATAGAGATGGAGCCGCTATTTGTAACGTATGTAGTTAATGGTTTACCATACACACACGAGAGCTCAATATAAATATTCTAGGTTTTAATATTTTTTTTAATAAAAAATATAATAAATAAATAATTTGAATGTGTTCAACCAAATATAAAATTGAGTCTTGCATTCACACCTATAAATTAAAAGGAACTTGGCGAACAAGTTCCATTCACTTATTTTTTTAGTGTTCTAGTTAATTATTTATTATACTCACAAATCTTTTAAACTAATTTTTTTTAAAAAAAGAAATAAATAAACAAAAAAAGTTTAATAAAATAAACATTAATGTCTATTTCTTTGAAAATATCAAAACATTATAATTTAATATTTAAATTTGCATTAAAAAACATTAACCTATGACATAAGCTGACCTAACTACCTAAACCAAAAATATTTTAGTATTGGATATTTAAAAGAGATTTTTTTTTTTGGATTAAAAAATGAAGAAAAATATAGTTTTTTTTTTTAATGTTCAAAGTGAAATAAATAAATTTAATCTTTATGGGTATATGAAACCATCCTTATGACGTCACAATCTTTGCATCATTTCTTTGGTCTTCTTCTTTCTCATTTTAAAATCCAATCAAATTTATTTTCCAAAAAATCCAAAATAGCAATCAAACTTTAGAGTAAATTGCAATTTTCAATTTGGGATCAAATTTTGAAATTTTAAAGTTAATGACTTAATTATGACATTTAAGTTCTTAACTTTATTCGTTTTAAAAAAACTAACACGTAGTGTTGAGTATATACATTAGCATGCTTACATGAGCATAATTTCAAGTCATATATAATAAAGACGAGCATTTGATAAGTGGGTACTATATGAAAAAAAATTTAATATAACCAACCAAGACCAATATTATTAGTTTTCTTAATGTTCCATGACCGTTCAAAGTATTAAAATTAAAATAAATATTTTGAAAAGATGTTAAAATATATTTAAATGTAAAATTGAAAGTAACACGAAGTTAAATTATTAAAAAATCCAATATTTTAATCCCTTTAATATTAAATTTGTGGAGTTTTGTTTCTTGATTTTTTAAATTCAACATTTTAACTCATTTTAGTTTTTTTTTGCTAAATTAAAAAGTAAAATAAATTTATATACATAATATTGAAATTGAAAGCTATTTATTATACATTTTGAAGTATAAAAAACATTTATTAATAATACATTTTTCAAAATTTAGAATACAAATTTGCTATTTATATATAAAATTTCCTGACTCCAATTTGACTTCTCGTTTCACTTTGGGGCCAAGTTTCCCACTACCCTTTTCTTTATTGGAGCGGTCAGCAGCCATGAAAATAAAATAAAAGAAAAAATGAGGCACTAATATTAAAGCATGACAATGGCGTGTTGAAAAATGAAGCTACGACGAAAGATGTTGGGCCATCGTCTTCTTTAAAAAAGACCTCCAAGTCTGCAGCTAAGCTTCGTCGTCCGTTCAGTAATAAAAACCCACCTCTGTTCTTCCTCCACTACTTCTCTACTGAAAACATGGTGATGACGATGGGGGAGCTGTGGACTCAAGTCGGGTCTTTAATGGCCACCGTCGTTTTTGTTTGTGCTATTATTCAGCAATATTTCCCCGTCCCACTACGTGCCCATATCGACAGATATGCCCACAAACTTACCGGTTTGCTCTACCCTTACATCACTATCACCTTCCCTGAGTACACCGGCGAGCGTCTCCGCCGAAGTGAAGCCTTTACCGCCATTCAAAACTACCTTGCTACCCGAAGCACCATCCGGGCCACGCGTATGAGAGCGGAGGCGGTCAAAAACAGCAAATCTCTGATACTCAGTATGGATGATAACGAAGAAGTGATTGACGAATACGAAGGCGTAAAAATCTGGTGGACTTCCACTAAAGTTATGCTCACCAATAAAAGCTTTTCTCGTTACCCTTCAAACGATGAGAAACGATCCTACCAGCTCACTTTCCACCGGCAGCACAGGGAGATCATTCTTGAAACTTTTATACACCACATCATGGAAGAAGGCAAGTCGGTGGAGAAGAAAAATCGGCAACGGAAGCTTTATATGAACAGCTCCAAGAACGAATGGTGGCATAAAAGCAACTGGAGGCACGTTCCTTTTGAGCATCCTGCCAAGTTTCGAACTCTGGCAATGGATCCTGAGATGAAGCAAGGGATTATAAACGATCTAATCAAGTTTAAGAACGGAAAAGAGTATTACGAGAAGGTGGGTAAGGCTTGGAAACGTGGCTATCTTCTCTACGGTCCGCCGGGTACTGGAAAGTCCACCATGATCGCTGCCATTGCCAATTTCATGGAGTATGATGTTTATGATCTCGAGCTCACGTCCGTTAAGGATAATAGTGAGTTGAAAAAGCTATTGATTGAGATATCGAACAAATCAATAATTGTGATTGAGGACATTGATTGCTCTCTTGATCTTACTGGGCAACGGAAGAAGAAGAAAACAGAGGATGAGGGAGATAAAGAGATGAAAGACCCTGTTAAGCAGGCGGAAAAAGAGGAGGAGAAACAGAGCAAGGTGACACTATCTGGATTGTTGAACTTCATAGATGGAATTTGGTCGGCATGCGGTGGGGAGAGGTTGATCATCTTCACGACCAATCACAAGGAAAAGCTTGATGAAGCTCTGATTAGAAGAGGAAGAATGGACAAACACATAGAGATGTCATACTGTAGTTTCGCGGCTTTCAAAGTTCTTTCGATGAACTACTTGGACGTTGAATGGCATGAATCGTACCACAGAATTGACCAACTGTTGAAGGAAACCGAGATGACTCCGGCAGACGTTGCTGAGAATTTGATGCCGAAATATGAGGGTGAAGAAACAGATGAGTGTTTCAAGAGATTGGTTGGAGCTCTTGAGACTGCGAAAGAGGAAGCTAAGAAGAAGGCAGAGGAGGAAGCGGAAGCAGCAAAAAAGGCAGAAAAAGAGAAGGAAGCGGAAGCAGCAAAAAGGGCAGAAAAAGAGAAGGAAGAGAAGGAAGCGGCGGCGAAAAAGGATGAAGAATCATCAATCTACACCGCCGAAAATAATGGAATTAAATGCAACGGAGTTGCAACCAAAGAAGCAAAAGAAAATGGTCACATGGAGAACGATCAGAACAGTTGAAACATGGCAATACAGGGCAATGCATATTTTAATTAATTAGGCTAAAGTTAAAGGTGTGTGAATATGGATTCCTAGGATAAGTGGTTTGGCCCGTTATCTGGGGCATATGCTTGTTGTATAAATTGATGTAACATAATATCTACGTTGATAGCTCCTGTTGCCATTGATTCTTTGTTATAGGGATAACTGATTCCATGGAAGCTTACAGAATCTTATTTAATGGCTGACCAAAATAAAAGATATAATTAAATCAGAAGGGAAATGAAATAAGGAAACGAAACGAGACGAGTGAAATGTGAGTAAAAGGGTGTCGTTTCAAAGACATGATCAACGACCTTTTTTTCTCAAACACTTCGACAGGTACCAAAAACCCTCAGCTGCAATGCTGAAACTATGAACCGTGCTTGAAAACTTTTGTTGATAAAACGGATATGATTACCTTCGACAGCATGTATCTTTAGCCTTTTGTGGTGAGCGAATACAGGATTTTCATAACAAGATCAAACAGAAATAGAGTAAACCATGCGAGTCTGGTTGGGATTTCTATTTCTAGTGAAGCTCGCTGTTGAAGTCACAAGTTTAAGTCGAGTCTGTTTAAATTGAGACTCCAAAAATTAAAGGATAAATCAGAAAATTAGGTTCAGAGTACTCCAAATTAAAGGATTAATCAGAAACTTAGGCTCAGAATATGAATATTCATTCTCATCGACTTTTCTTTCCGATAAAAGAAAAATCTCTGAAGTCTGACATGTGAATTTTATTCATAATTCATCACCGCAGAAGAAGCGGAAAAACACCTAAGCAATTGCAACAAACGCAAGAACCAATGGCGACACGCAATTACACTAATCACAAAGAAAAACACTCTGTAGCGGAAGCTCTCATTGCGTTTCAGTAGATCTCTACAGAAGTTTCAACTTCAGAATAGCGTATATTGCCCGATAAGGCATGTAATCACAGAGCAACCGCTACAGAAAAACGCATATCTTGTAGAAAAAACATCAGAGAAAAAACAAAACAGGTGGAAGCAAATTAGGAGTTGAAAACAGCTGCGATTTAATCCAAAACGCGGACAAACACAAAATTCTCATCAAATCTCCAGAATCACTGATTCAAATACTCGAACAAACAAGTAAACATGTAAAGAAAGATAGCCAAATCAACAGAAATACCAAGAATCATAGATTTGGAATGTATTTTCCATTCATATTGCAGCAGATTTTATCTCATCACTTTATTCAAGTAACAAAGAATAACAAACAAACTCATAGAGAGGTCATCAAAGAGATGTTGTGCAGCCAGTAGAGACAGAAGTGGAAGAGAGACCGCGAAATGTGAACTTGGAGGCGCATTTTTATAGGTCTAATTTAACCGCTAGTTGAGAAACCCTAGACAGGATCAGAACAAGGTTCTGCCCTTTTGGGCCGTCGGCCCAACCAAACTAAGGGTCCAAAAACTAATAGATTAGTCGTTAGTTAAAATATATATATTTGATTTTATTATTCCCTTGAAAATAATAAACGACATCGTTTTGGCCACCATTTCAACAAATGAAGATCTATGACCTAGGAATTCACGAAACCTTGGCAAATCGGCGACCTAAACAAAGTTATAGGTTATTATAACTTATTATTATTTTCTAGTCATAACATTTTAAACAATTATAATATGTCGCTTATTTTTTTTTTCAATTTGAATATAATTTAAATTAGTTAAAATATTTTGGTTTTCGAGTTGGTTTGATTTTATTAGTTCATGTTATTGAAAAAACAAAATAAAATTTAAAAATTAAGAAAAAATAATTTTTATTAATTTTTTAAATTCCACAAATGAAAATTAGACCAAAAGAATTAGAAAAAATAAATAAATATAAATTTTAAAAAATAGAAAGGAAAAAAAATTATCAAATATAGAAAAATCTTGGCACTCACCAGCAGCCAAAGCACAAATAATTAATTTTTATTTTAAAAAATTGATTTTCCGAGGCGTACAAGTTAACATAGAAAGATCGGTGACTCCAAGGACGACTTGTCGGCTTCTGAGATCTCGGCGCCACCTTTGCTCTTTGGTCTCTTAAGCCAAACGACTTGTCGTTTTCATAACTTCCGCCCTCTTTTTATTATAAATGTATTGTATTCATAGTTCAACTTCTAAAAACAAAGCTACTTGCTTCAAACTCCTCCAACAATGGTGGAAGCAAAAGATCAGCATGGTGCGATGAACAACAATACCTTTCCAACCATTGATCGTTGTTCATCCATTGGTCGGGAGAAGCACACGGTCGTCGCCGACATGGATGGGACATTGCTTTGTGGGCGTAGCTCTTTCCCTTACTTCGCCCTTATCGCCTTTGAGGCCGGTGGCGTCTTGAGGCTTTTGTTTTTACTCTTAGCCTCTCCGATCGCTGGAATTTTGTACTACTTCATTTGCGAGTCAGCTGGTATTCGTGTCCTTATTTTTGCAACTTTCGTTGGAATGAAGGTAAACTAAATCATTCGATAGTAATTAAATATTTAATAAATTTTAAACTTCAAATTAAAAAATTAGAATAAAAATGGATAAAATAGAAAATTTAATTTAAAAAGTAATTTTCTTCAAATTAATTAATTTTTTAATAAAACTAAATTTGAAAACTATTTGGAAATAGATTTACTTTGATGCGTTAAAAGTTTAATTATTATTAAAATTCAAAACTTTAATTGATTATCTCAACAAAGGTTTCCGACATCGAGTCGGTGGCGCGTGCGGTTCTACCAAAGTTCTATGCACATGACTTGCACGTGGAGACTTGGAGGGTATTTTCGTCATGTGGAAAACGGTGCGTTTTAACCGCAAACCCAAGAATCATGGTAGAACCATTTCTGAAGGAGTTCTTGGGCGCTGACGTAGTCATCGGAACTGAAATTCACACAATCGGCCGGCGAGCCACCGGCTTGATTCAAAGTCCTGGAATCATAGTGGGAAAAAACAAGGCTACGGCGGTGGGAGAAATCCCAACGCCGGATATTGGGATCGGTGACCGGAAAACTGATTACCCCTTTATGAAGCTCTGCAAAGAGGGGTATGTGGTTCCGGCGAAGCAGGAGGTTAAGCCGGTCACCGTCGATAAATTGCCTAAACCAATCGTGTTCCATGATGGGCGACTGGTTCAAAAGCCGACGCCGTTAATGGCGATGGTTTTAGTTCTATGGATTCCAGTCGGGTTTGTTCTTGCCTGCTTGCGGATTGCTGCCGGTTCTCTCCTTCCGATGCCGATTGTGTACTATGCCTTTTGGGCTCTTGGCGTTCGGGTCAAAATCAACGGTACACCACCACCACCGGTGAAGAAATCCACCGGCCAAACCGGCGTCCTCTTCATTTGTTCTCATCGAACCCTTCTCGATCCAATCTTCCTCTCAACCGCTCTCGGCCGTCCAATCCCCGCCGTGACATACTCAATCTCCCGCCTCTCGGAGATCATTTCTCCCATCAAAACCGTCCGCCTGAGTCGCGACCGAGCGGCCGACGCCGCAATGATCAAGAACTTACTCCAAGAAGGCGACTTAGCAATTTGCCCAGAAGGGACGACATGTCGGGAGCCATTCCTGCTCCGATTCTCAGCATTGTTCGCAGAGCTAACAGACGAGATCGTTCCAGTGGCGATGTCGAACCGAATGAGCATGTTCCACGGGACGACAGCGAGAGGGTGGAAAGGGATGGACCCGTTTTACTTCTTCATGAACCCAAGTCCGGTCTACGAAGTGACGTTTTTGAACAAATTGCCATACAAACTCAGCTGCGGCGGAGGCGGGAAATCGAGCCACGAGGTGGCGAATTACATTCAGAGGATGATTGCTGCAACGCTGTCGTATAAGTGCACTAACTTCACCAGAAAAGACAAGTACAGAGCTCTCGCCGGAAACGATGGCGTCGTTGTCGAGAAATCGAAGGTTGAGTCCACAAAGATAATGGGCTGCTAGAGATTCGAGACAAAAACTTCAATTATGTGTGTAGCACGATAAAATTCAAGAATTGTGTGAAAAAAATTTACAAAATTAGAAAGTTTTAAATTTTACAAACTATCAAGCTGGAAAATTTTTATTTGGATAATTTCTATCCGATCGCCAGTCGAAATTACTCTTAGACAACAAGAACACACAGCATACGACACCCGACTCGACCAGCTATCATGGGAGCTGTCCAGTGATAGAGGGCGAGAAGTGGTCTGCAACAAAATGGGTTCACATCCTTAGTTCTTCTATTCAATTGATGTGGTACCTCACAAAAACGCACCCGAGTGATCGAGCAGTTCAATAGATAGTGTCTTGACGCTATAGTCTTGACCATATATTGGCTTGGCCAACTCCAACATCTCGTTTTTGCTCGATTTTCTTCGTTTCTCTTTAATTCTTATAGCTCTTTTCACCTCGACTAGACTAGCTTGGCCTACAGCCTCATCCCTAGTCTAATGTCTATGACAATTCCATTCTATCTTGGTTCCTATTTTTCATCGACACATGTGTCACTGAGTGTTCGGCAGCTATGTTTACCCTGGCTGGTGTTAAAGCTCCTCTTCCCATGAAGTTCTTGAGTTCCTCAGCCAATGCTAAGGTCGATGTCTTCTAGTAAGGCTAATAGTCTCCTAGACCGTTGTATCGATTGGCCGAAAGGACTTATACGCCATAGTCTTTCTTTTCCTCCCAACCCACAAGCTAGAAATGGCATAAACCAAAATTTAGAATAGGAATTAAGTCCATAAATGAAAGAATCACTCACTTTGAGCCTTGAATAGAATGCACTTGGGGCCAACCTGATGAGAGAGAGAGAGGAAAAGAATCATGCAGTAATGGTTCATTGGGAGCTCTGTTTCCATGCATTTCATGCCTTAAAGATCACTTCTTAAACATTCACTTTTCCCCTCTTAAAAAATGACTAAAACTATAGCTTCCAATTGCATCACCATTACATACTAAAGCTTTTACCCTCAAATCTCCCTCTCATCACCATTGTTGCAGGATGGGGAAGCCTCCTTGCTGTGATAAGTCCAATGTTAAAAGAGGGCTTTGGACTGCAGAGGAAGATGCCAAAATCCTTGCTTATGTTTCCAACCATGGAGTTGGGAATTGGACTCTGGTTCCCAAGAAAGCAGGTTTCTCTCTGTTCTTTCTCTTGCTTTGTTTCTTTTGTTGTCTAACAATGAAGGAATTTGAATGAATATGGCTCGTTTTTTCAAAGGGCTGAATCGATGTGGGAAGAGTTGTAGACTGAGATGGACTAATTACCTTAGGCCTGATCTCAGGCACGACAGCTTCACTCCTCAAGAAGAAGACCTCATTATCAAACTCCATCAAGCCATTGGAAGCAGGTCCTTTTCTCACTTCCCTTTCGTTTTCGGATATTTGACTTATGGGTTAGATTTAAATAGTCTAAGCTTTTGAGGTCGACTTTGTTGAAGATTGTTGGGAGGGAGTCCCACATTAGCTAATTAAGGGGATGATCATGAGTTTAGAAGTAAGGAAAACTAAAAGCAAACCCATGAGAGCTTATGCCCAAAGTGGACTACATCATACCATTGTAAAGATCCATGATTCCTAACATGGTATCAGAGTCATGCCCTTAACTTACAAACAGAGATGTTGGGACCCTCGAAAGTGTAGTCAAAAGTGACTCAAGTATCAAACAAAGGATGTACTTTGTTCGAAGGTTCCATAAATCTCAGGGGAGACTTTATGGTGTACTTTTTTCGAGGAGATTATTATTGAGAATTGTTGGGAAGGAGTCCCACGTTGGCTAATCAAGAGGATGATCGTGGGTTTATAAGTAAGGAATACATCTCTATTTGGATAATATCATACCATTGTGGAGAGTTATGGTTCCTAATAGACTTTGCGACGTTACTTTTTTGTGTATAATGCCTAACTTTACCTCGTATCTATGTGACGTTCACATTTAAACTCTACTCCAAATAGTCATTATACTAATGCATATAACGCTAATACTTATATACCAAGGATCTTTCTCGACACACAAACCAAAAATAGATTATAAATCAGCTCAAGACTTTCCAATTCAAAGAACATCCTCGTTATCTACGAAACAAAAATGGTGATCCAATTCAAGCTATATAAGGGAAGAAACATTACCATGTTATTGAGTACTTGAAGATGAATAACACACAATCTCTGTCTCTGTCTCCATTGATTAGTGCAGGTGGTCTGTAATAGCAAAGCAGCTGCCAGGAAGAACAGACAACGATGTAAAAAATTACTGGAACACAAAGCTGAGAAAAAAGCTTTCAAAAATGGGAATAGATCCAATAACTCACAAGCCCTTTTCTCAGATCCTGTTTGACTATGGATCCATAAGCAGCCTCCCAGCCACGCCCAAACCCCCCCTGATAGGCCCCTTCAACAAAACCTTGAACCCAACAACAACAACAACAATGGCCAAAACCCAGCAACCATTTTCTTCAGGGGCCTATTTGGGACAGCAATTTCAGTTTCAGACCCCAAAGAAACCACAGTTTTTCAATGAACAACCGACAACCTCGTCTTGTTCATCGTCCTCCATCAATGGCGGTGAAGGCTTGTTCCATTTTGCTGCTTCTTCGTCGTGTTGTTCGGAGCAGCGTAATGGGATTGAGCCCTTTTCGCAGCAATGTGAAGGGTCTTCTTCCGATTCGTCTTTCGATTCGTTTGTGGATGCCTTGTTGGTGCAGGATTGTGAGATTAAGGGCTCGTTTCCGGAGATTTTGGATGGGTGTTTTGATTATTGAGGAATTTGGTTTTTTTTTTTGTTTAGTACTACAAATCGTGGCGGATAAAAATAAATGTCGTTGGTTGAATAAATTTGCTGACAGATTATCTTAAAAAATAATGAGTTCTTAGTGTTATTTCATTTCCGAGTTGATTGCCTAATAGAAGTATAAATTAATTTTAAGATTTATTTAAATTATGAAATAATAAGATTTATTGGATGTACATGAACTAAATCGAGATCGGAGTTTAAAAATGTGATGTCACGTTAGTTCATGAGAAAACAAAATACCATTTGTAATGGTATGGAAATTAGAACAAAACGCTATTTATAAGAGTATGAAAACCTATGAAAACCTTCCCCACGTATTTTAAAGCTTTGAGGGAAAGCCTAAAAAGAATCATATTTGCTAGCGGTGGGCCTGAGCCGTTACAAATGGTATCAGAGCCAGGTTACAGACGATGTGTCAGCCTTCTCGCTAGTCCCAAAGGGGGTGGATTTGGTAGGGGTCCCACATCAATTGGAGAAAGGAACGAGTGCGAGCGAGGACGGCTCCAAAGGGGGTGGATTGTGATGTCCTACCTGATTGAGGAGAAGAACATAACACCCTTTATAGTGGTCCGGAAGCCAGAACAAAACATCATTTGTAAAGGTGTGGGTACGTATGGAAACGTCCTCTTAACAAATTCATTTTATAAAAAAGTGTGAAAAAATACTCTTTTTTGGACGTTGGTTGATTAGTCATATTCATTAGTTGTATAGATGGGTCATGGGGTCAATTCAATGTAGACTACACATTGAACGTAGATCCACCTTCCATATTCAATTTAATTAATTTTTCGATTGGAATGCTTAAATATCGGACCATTAAAAATTAAAGAGAAAATTAATGAAAATTTAATCTTTAACCCCGGTTAATGAATTTTTACTATTAAATTATTAAAGTCTCCCACAGTCGGTAGATATTGTTTGTTTTAATTTAGGTATCTCCATCAGTCTCACAGTTTTAAAATTCGTTGATTTGAATGAGCCATCCATCTTAAATAAATCAAATAGGCCTTATTTCTTAAAAATATGATTTATAAGTATCCCATGATTTGAATGAAAAGTAAGTGGAAAAAATGAAATGACTACGAAACAAATTGAGAGAGAAGGATGAATGTAAGATGTCCATGTTTTGGGACACATTTGGTGACTATGAAACAAAACCATACACTACATTACAAATGGCAATTTGGAATCAGAACAGATATTATTACCTAACCAATAGTACATTTTTATCGTGATTAAGATATTAATTATCATATTAAAGAGTTAGATGATATCGATCTCTCATCCATCCAAAATATTACATTAAAAAAATAGAGTTGAGTTCATTTGTTTACAAAATATGCTTCGACTAAGAAGCTAGATCGATTTTCTCATCTTAAAAAAGTTATATAAAGAAAAAACAAATTACCCAACTTTCAAAAATTGCTTTTGTTTTTTTTATTAACATATTTGAGTCTCTAATATTTAAATATTTCTTAATTCAATCCCTATTATTGATTATGTATTAAAATATGAAAGTTTCATAAAAATTGGTTAATGATATTTAGTGAACTTGCAAAAATTAAAAGCTTATCTAAAAGGATTTCTAGAATTTTTTGGAAAAATGAAAAACTTTCATAACCATCTTAGATAACACTATCTTCTTCGCCACGACGTTTCAACTTTCATTGATCATGATCGAACTAAATTAAAGAAACACTTGTATTATTAGAACTAAAACATCCAAGGAAGTGAGAGAGGTTGTTTGGTTAGAGTAATATTATCTTTGCACGGTTCCCAACTTGCCATATATATTTAGAGATGTTTACAAACCAAGACGACAATAAAGAAGACTTCACGATCAATTCACATATAGTTTGAGTTGAGTTCTCCAATTATTGAATTGAATTAGATTCAAATAACTGAAATTTTTATGTGTTAATTTTACCTAACATATAAATACAAATATATATATATATATATATATATATATATATATATATATATATATATATGTGTGTGTGTGTGTGTGTGTGGTTGAAATGAACATTATCAAATGACATCAAAAGTAAATTCATGCAAAATGGTATGCTTAACTTTTTATAGTCAAATTGATTTACTTGACTTGTTCTAGTAAATATCTACACAAATAAATACTTGAAAATGGATGAAATTTAATGACTATTCTAAAATTTAGAGATTATACCCGGAAAAAAATTGAGAAAAAAAAAATTAAAACCCGTAATATTTTACTAAATATCAAACCTTCCAACAACTATAATTAAATATGGATCAATTAATTAAGGTCAAAAAGAGCACTTCAATAATATTTGACAGGACCATTATAGAACTTGCTTTTGGTGGCTTGCAGCTCCCTAAGATCATAACTTTTTCCATCACCATACACAAATCATAATGGAGGAAAAAAAAAAAAAGTGACTGATTATTTGAGGACATAATTCACCTAATTCTGATGATTGGTAATTATTCATCGATCCTTCGAGTAAGAACGCTTTTTTTTAAATAAAAAAAAAAAGAAAGGAAAAAAAAAAACTATGATGGTGACTTAATTTTTCCAACTCAATTAGAGTTGGATAAGTGTTCATCCTTTGCTGGATCTTCTCATTTGAATAATTATTTGGAAGAAAAATAGGGAGGGAGCTCGCCATTCTCACCAAACTAACTCTTATGCAAACCATAAATCTGTAAATTAATTAAAGGCAATGTAAATAATAGCACAAACTAAACAAATGACTCACCGCTGTTCGAGCATAAGCGCCCTCTTGCTATCTCCATGTGCGAAGCATTGTCTTAGCTTTCTCTGGCCAAGATCACTCCCACACCAATAGCATTCGTGATCGGTCACAAACCCACAAAATTATAAGGTAAAACATTTATAGTTTATCAATTAGACATGTTTATCTGAATTCTACATATTTCGAGATCTTACCAATTACATAAATAAAAGTTTCTAAAAGTCCACATTAACCACAAACATAGAACTACCCAAAGCCCGAGTTAGCAAATACTTGCGAGAAACTCTAAGAATGAGATGTAATCTTACAAAAGATACGCGAGCAAAGCATACAGTTGTGAATAGAAAGATGGAAGCAAAAGAAAGATGAAGAAAAGGGAGGGAATTGGATTATTTATTAGGGTCAGGGACACAAAACAAATATAAATTTTGACGTTATTAAAAGGAAAATTAATCCACAAGACAGACGTGACTCCCACTACCTAACAGCTCTCTACCTATCCTATGTAATATATATTTAATCAAAATCCTTTCTCCTAATATCATATCATATCATAACACATTGTGAGGCTTATATCTCTTTAAAGTTCCTTTCACTACTCGCTGTCTTTCCTTCAACCAACACCCATCAAATTATACACACTATTTCTCTCTCTCCGAACCACCTTTGACTTCTACCCTCTCTCTAGAAGTTGCCGCCTGCAGTTTCATTGTTGAACCCCAATTGGGTTCCTTTTCAAATCTCCTTTCTCTCTCTCTACTGCATAGAATTGGGCGGTAAGCACGAAGGTTTGTGAGGAATTATTTGCTCCTCATTGAATTGTAGAAGAGGGTGGTCAAAGTCAGAGAAAAGGGAAGAAATTATTGCCACCCTAAAGCTTTTGGGAATTGTTAAGCTATATGGAGAACAATATTAAGAGTGGAATGATCAGCTCATATGAACTTGAACAGTACCAGAGATTTTCTTATTCAAAGTAATGGAAGGGGAGAGCCATAAGTCCAAATCCAGTAGGTTCCGCAAGTACTGGTTCACTGCTGGAAAGCATAAGAGACCTGACCCATGTTGTCCCAGCAATGAAATTTCTGGTTTGTTTTGTCATATGTTTGTTGATTTTGTTTCGGTTAATTTCCATTTCAACTTACTGAGGTTTTGTTGCAGATGGAGATGACTACGAAAGTGAAAACTTTCTGGAGAAGGTCCTTTCTCGGTCGGTGGATATGGCTCCGTACAAATTAGCCAATGAATTAAGGTGGCCAAAGGAATTAAAAGTTTTTTGAGTCATAATTTCTCTATGATAATTTTCTTAACTTTTAATCTGGAATCGATTGTCCTCAATTGAATCAGAATCTTTGTGGGTACTTGGAATGTCGCCGGAAGATCGCCGATCGGAAGCTTGGCCGTCGATTTAGACGATTGGCTCAATCTCAAAGATACTGCAGATTTATACGTTCTTGGGTATGTTGTTTAGATCCAAAAAGAAAACAGAGCTCTTTTCTTTTTTTGAACAATTGGGCACTAAGTTTCGACTGGGTTTGTTTCTTTCTCTGTTTTTGGAAGGAAGATTTCAAGAGATTGTACCGTTACAAACAAGGACAGTAGTCGGAGCGGAGGACACAACCAAAGCAACAAACTGGAACTTACTGATCGGAAAAATTCTAAACGACAAATACGGATGCCCATGGCTAACGCCAATGATGACGAACACAGCCACCGGCGACGAGGATTACAAAAGAAACAAAGACTCTAAAAGGCCGAGGAGTTTCGCAGGCGGCGATCAAACTCCGATCAAATTTCCGGGGAGAATTCCGGCGAACAGGGTCATGGGCGGGAGCAGATACGTATTGTTGGCAAGCAAGAAGATGGTGGGAGTGTTTATAAGCGTATGGATAAAGAGAGATCTGGTGAGGAAATATTACATATCCAATGTGAAAGTTTGTTCGGTGGCCTGTGGAATAATGGGTTACTTGGGGAATAAAGGGTCGGTTTCGGTGAGTATGTCGATTGAAGGGACAAGTTTTTGCTTTGTGGCTGCCCATTTGGCTTCCGGGGAGAAAAAGGGGGACGAGCGGCGGAGGAACCGCCAGGTGTCTGAGATATTCCGGCGAACTTTTTTCGCCAGAACGCCTAAAGATGATTGCTATCCAAATCCACGTCCTCCACCTCTCACCATCTTAGGACATGAGTAAGTGGGTGTTTTTAATTTCTTTGTCGTCGCTATTAAATGAAAAAGGCCAACGTTACAGTGATTGTACACAGTCGTTGTACGTCCAACATAATTTTTCTTCAGATTTAAGGCAATGTTAGAATAGAGAGGTTAAAGTTCTAGAATAGATAATTAAACTTTTAGAGTAAATTACCCATTTGTCCTTGGTGGTTTGGAGTTAGTTTTAAGAAAAGGGCTTTCTAGAAAGCATAAACTTTTCAAAAGATTGAAACATGCTTAGCCTAGGAAAGCAATAGATAGTAGTGTTATGATGGAAAGTTAAAATTGACGTAAATTTTGGATTTGTGTGCTGTGGAACAGTCAAATATTTTGGTTTGGGGATCTGAACTATAGGCTGTATTTAGAGGACAGTTTTGCGAGGCAATTGATAAAGGAACAAGAGTGGGAAGCATTGCAAGAGTTTGATCAGCTACGGAAAGAGCAAGAAGCTGGTGGGGTATTTCAGGGATGGAGAGAAGGGAACATAGAGTTTGCTCCTACCTACAAGTATTCTTCATCAAATTGCAATCGCTATTCAGGTGGTCCTCTGAGAAGAACAGGAGAGAAGCAAAGAACTCCAGCATGGTACTATTTCATCATCTAACACACAATTTACTCTATTCTCTCTCTCTCTCTCTCTAAAAGCTTATGAAGCCCTAGGGTTTAGGGTTTATGAAGTCCTTGATATCTCTAAAAGCATGGTACTATACTCTAAAAGCATATAGGATTCTTGAGTACAGAGTCCATGAAGTCCTTCAGTTTTCAATTAATTTCCAAGATATTGGACAAAAGAAAAAAACAGATATATAGATTGTTTAAGCTCTCCTATCTATTCTCGAGGATTCTAGAGTAGAGGGTCCATGGAGTCCTTCAGTTTTCAATTAACTCTCTTATCTATTCTCGAGGATTCTAGAGTAGAGGGTCCATGAAGTCCTTCAGTTTTCAATTAATTTCCAAGAAATTGGAAAACAAACAGACAGAAACAGAAAGAGAGAGATTCTGTCTATGAACTCGATGAGATGAAATCATAGGGTAGAGCGTGGATCCTTCTGTTTTGAATTAATGTCCAAGAGAGAAGGAAAAACAGAATTCACAGAGAGGGAGAGAGGGAGAGAGGGAGATGAAATAATTTCCCCAGAAACAGAAGAAAAAACAGAGAAAAAGATAGAGAGCTTAAAGAATGCTAGTAATTTACTCTTTGTTCCCCCTGAAACCTTAAAATGAAGGCCTAGACTTTTGGATTAATTCCGCCCCCTCCCCCCCCCCCCCCCCC